GTTAACATTGCTCCGGCGGACATTAAAAATGTTGCTGCGATTGTTGCTGTTGCTGTTGTCGTCGTCACTTTCGTTTGCTCTACTGGCTCGATAGCTCGAAGCTCCTTGTACAAATCTTAGCTACCACGTACTTAATCCTTCGGTTTTATGTTCCTCTGTTTACATGTTTTCTATGTCAGGCTAAACACTTCTTCAGCGCTGTCAAGTTTTATCCTTGCAATATTATACTTAAGAAATTCATATTTTTTATTTACCTGTAGGAACACTAAATGTGCTTTATCCCTGCGGTTTTCTTCCAAATATTTGCTCCACGGAATCGTTACAAATATAATATTTATTTCTGTTAAGCAGTGCTGCATATGTTGTGTTGCATTTGTTAGTAAAATCCTTAATGCATTTCCGCCTCCGTCCGCTTTTTAGGATTTAAAAAAGTGAAAATAATTTCAAAAATATTGTACACAATAACTCAAATAATGTAGAATAAGAAATAACATCAAACATCACGCTCTTCCTCTTATAATAGTTTTTCTACATCATTAAGCAAAGATTCTGGAATAGATAATACCAACACCAATTATATCAAATCGTCCAACTAAAAACTTACAAAAACTAGAAGAAATATATTTACTAAAGTAATAATGCTTAAGATCGTTTTTAGATCTGTTTATATTATATCATGGATTATTAAGATTAAATTGCTTTCGTTGATCGTTGGTATTTGATTTTCAATTGAGACTAAATGTTTCTAAAAGATTGTGTAATTTACAAAAACACATGTTGCATTTAAAGGTAATTTGTCCTGCGTATTCGGTGTGATTACTGAATTTAATTCTGGAGGTAGAACATTTCGCAGAAAGAAGAATAAAGAAGTAATTTAATATGACATGCATTTCGTCCATTCGTAGCTCTTTCATATAATAGTAGCAAGGCTTATTTACAGTTTTGTCTAGAGATATTTTGACTTGCAATCTTGTTTATACATTTAGTAGTGAACACAAAAACCACTAGTTTGCTATTAAGTTTCTACTTACCATATTAAAATACGCCATTCCGTCTATTATATTTTTAATAAACGTGTTCAGTTCTTTGAATGTTAATGTTATACACACAGCATTTGACAAAAGGGAGTTCTGCACAGCAGTATTTTTGGACATATCCCAGGCATTTGATAAAGTTTGGCATAACGGCCTATTGTTTAAGCTTAAAAAGATGCTCCCAACTAATTACTACATTTTCTTAAAATCCTACACCGAATCACGATATTTCTTTGTAAAACTGGGGGAAGAAATTTCAACATTGCAGCCAATTCAGGCTGGAGTGCCACAAGGCAGTGTCTTGGGACCTGTGTTATACTTACCCTTCACTAACGACTTGCCTACCACCATTGGTACTGACATTGGAACTTTTGCCGATGATACTGTGATAATAACTATAGACGAAAATCACCAGTTAGCATCCAATAAACTTCAGCGAGCGCTAGATGACATTTCCCAGTGGCTTAAAACCTGGAGAATAAAAGCAAATGAATCTAAGTCTTCACAAATAACCTTTACAATGAGAAGGAAAAATTGCCCACCGGTACGCCTTAACGATGTGTTAATTCCTCAATCTACCCAAGCGAAATATTTAGGAGTACACTTTGACACGAAATTAACTTGGAAGCACCACATTTTTACAAAAAGATAAACTCTTGGCATCAGACTGCGGGAGCTCTACTGAATACTTAACAAAGGTTCAAAGCTCTCAGTCGAAAATAAACTTCTTATCTACAAAGCTATACTGAAACTAATCTGTACATATGTCATTGAACTCTGGGGGACTGCTGCATCTTCAAATATTGAGATTGTCCAACGTTTTCAATCAAAAACTCTTATATTAATCCTAAATGCTTTTAGATATATAACAAAAGCATGCATACTCGCGATCTCATCATTCCCGTAGTTAAGGATGTTATAAAAAGCCAAGCCAGTAAACAAAAAAAACGTATGTTACATCATCCTAACCACTTTAAGAGCAGAATGATAGCAGAAGGAAGAACGTTTACCCGTCTCCGCGAACACACGCCACTGGAACTTCAATGTTGTTTATTGTCTATTCCGAATGGACAGATCGCAATATAAGAAAATAAATTTACAAGTCTATGACAAGTCTCCGATTAGAACCGATTAGAAAATGGTAATCTAATCGAATTCGTCTATTCAGAACACTATATTCGTTGTTATACAGAACACCATATTTCTATTTTAATTTTTTTTTTATATTCCTTTATCTCATAATCTCAAACATCGTGATCAATTTAATAATTTAACACTCAATCAAATCAAACATCTAAACATCGACATCTGTTCGTAAATAATACTAGCTGAAAGATCTTTGGGATAGTACGAATGAAGAAATTAATGGTTCATCATCTGATTGGAAAATGAATCCCCGCAAGCTCATGAATCTATATATTGAGTGTCCTCTCTCAAAAGTGAACACTGGATTAAGGGAACACTAAATTACCTGAATATATACTTGCTATATATTTACTATTCTAAAAAGTGAACGAATTTTCGTTGAGCTTAATTAGTTCAAGTTTTCGGGTTCGCACTGTTAAATAATTCAAGTAATTTCCACCTTTATGAGCAGAGTAACATATCGATTTTATATGCAAATGCTTACACTTTATCATAGTTACCCTGTATATCTAGTGCTTTTATATTGAAAAACTTTTTCCTTTATTTTTCCGTTGTAAGAAAAATGTTGATGGTAAACTTTTCTGATGTACTTCTCGCTATTAACCTTGATTTGCGTTAAACTGCTGAAAGCGTTGCATACTTTTCGGGAACTCGCACTACATTGTCCTTTTTGTGTTACGACAAAATATTGAATTTACCTTCAAACTAAATTTTATATAAATATAAATTAAATAAATATAATTTTAGACAAAATCAGAATACAATCAAAACTAATGCAACTAATTGAAATGAATTATTTTTTAGGAATCATGAAATGAAGTTAACCATTTAAGTTAAACTACAGTTTTATTATTTTTATGTAAATGCTATTTGTTTATATATTTATTTATACATATGCTTGTATAAAAACGGTAATCTAATTTTCATGCCATCATATTCTCAACATAAAATCCAACCTTTCAACCCAGTCTTTGTCTACATAGTAAGTGTCCAGCTGTATTTTAAGTTGGAATCTGTCCAATCATCGTGCTTTCGGTATGTTTAGCATAGTCGTAGTTTTGAATTTTTATAAAAATTAATATCACATTGAATAGCATTGACTCTATTTTCATTTATAATAAAGCATAACTATATCACTATATATCAACTATAACTATAACTGTAACTATGTATCAACAAATTAAAGTACTTGACTGTTCGTAGTTGAAGCTATTTTTTAGTTAATATATTTTAATTTTCAAAAACAAATTGAATTAAAATTTTAATTAATGTTTTCTTTCTAAACATATTCGTGCCACTAAAACGGAAATAACAGAACGCCTCATATCGTCTGTATTTCAATTCTATTTCCGCTTACCGCCAAATAGCAGGGAACAGAACAACAACAACGGTTTCAGCACTTTAAAGTTTATAGTTTCCGGTACACCTAAAAAAGAAGACAAAATGAAACGAATAATGTTTTTTCGAATGATTCTAAGTGAAATTTAACTTTCAGTTAACGTACGCCAATGAAAAAGTATTTATTAACGTTCAGCATGTACCGTTTTCGTAGTGCTTTAATAAAACAAATTGTACAAACATAATTTCCTGAGGGAAACGCAGCTACTCTAGGTAGTGTTAGTTTATATGTGCTCACCAGCACTTTTTTTGCAGATCCAATGGAACTACGAGTGTGTTTCACTAAAAGTATGCAATGATTTTGCAATTGAAACGTGTACGTGCATGGGTACGTGAATGTGTAAGTGAATATGTTTAGGATATTTGAACGCTCATTCTTTCGTTTTTCAATTTTTCAATTTGGCAAAATGTATCTGTTACTGCACAAGAACAACACAAAAACATGAAATCTCATAAAATTGTTTTGTTTATATATTTTGTATGTATTTTTCTATTTTTTATTTATTTCGTTTATTTTTTTTTGACAAGTGGCTCATGCGGGCATATGTGCTACATCACGTTCAAATTGGCCAAACTAACCACAAAACAATTTCTAACATGACATTTCATTTATATTCTCAATTTTATCTCTCAGTTGTTAAGAGGGGAGAGTGGGCCTGATGGTTAAGCTGATAAAAATAATAAAAAATAGAAGCCCCCACATAAATGCTTTTAAGTATCGTGCTTAAAACATATTAAAATACATTTTAATCACAAAAGTTAAATTCAATGTGCATTGGAGCGAACCGACACCAAAAAAATTACTTTCTGTATCAATGTGTTTATCAGCTAAAAGCTGCTTCTATTCAGTTTTGCAACTATTAAAAACTAATATATATTTTTAACAAAGCAATTTAAAGCTCTGATATTAAAATCCTTTTTAATCATACTACAATTCAGTATTGTAATAGCTGAAAAAAATGCTTAAAAGTAGCACAACAATATTGCTACAATATTGCAATAATCGATATTGCAGTGGCTCTATTTAATGACAATTTTTTTGTATCCGCTTTCAATTTTTCCATATATATAATATTATTTGGTTTTTCACTTTTATCCTCTTCAATTTCCAACTTGCTGGTATTTATTTGCCGCACTCACTGCTCCCTGTCCTGTATTGTTATCATAATCATTGTCGGCAATACGTATACGAGCGACCCACTTTTCACTGTAAGATAAGTGGTGTCCATTCAAATCCAATGGCGCGTTGTGGGTGTGTAAAACGTCACAGGATATCTCATTAAATGGTTCTGTGGCTTAAAAGCACTGCTAGAAAGGGTTTAAGTACAGTTAAGCATAGTTAAATACAGTTAAATATAATAGCTCTACCGCTGAAATTTATTTTAATTTCATAGCTTTTTGTCTAATGAATAAATTTTGCAGATTATAACGAAGAACCTAGTGGCACTGGTGCTTTGGCCGGTAGCTTTGATAAATCTGTGTTGCAAATTTCGGATTGGTTAAACTGGGAACAGAATATGATCAAGATACAAAGTGTGGCAGTAGACGATGTCGATGCCGTACGTATGGCCATTGAAAAACAGGAGGTAAGTGACAGGTTGCATTGCAAAAGAAATGATGAAACTACTTTATGAAATTTATTATTTCTTAAGAAAAGCTGCTCAACTCCAATTTTTAATTTTTTTTAATATTTTTTATGATTGCAGAAAGTTTTACGTGAATTAAAACTAAAAAAGCCACAACTGAATGAGTTGGTCCATACGGCAGAGGTACTAAAAGGCGATGTGAAACGACAACAGTTGCAAGAAAAAGGTAAAAATTTTCAAATTATTACCAGTATTAAAATTTTAAAATATTTAAATATTTATTTATTAGTACCTAATAAGAGCTTATAACAAACATGTAAATTATTTTGAACGTATTGAAAATATAGTGCAATAAACATATATATTAATGGTATATATCAGTATATATAGCTAATTCTTTTTAAGTTCTCGTCAAAACAGCAATTTTGAATTTTATTAATTTCTTGAAAATATATTCTTGCAATTCCCCAATTTTTGGTACTTTCACAATATGAAAATCACTATATGAAATATAGTGATTTGGTACTTTATATGAAATACAAAGAATTCTTAAAATATTGAGTATTGCTAAATAATTTGTCAAAATTATTTTCATATGTAGTTCAAATGTATAAAAAAGCTTCTCCTTTGGTTAAAATTTATATTTTGGAGAAGATTCTGAAGAGTCTGAAGGATTTATATAACCAAAAATGATTTAACCTTACATATGAATTATAAATGATATATATAAATCATATCGATGAGAAAAATAATTATATTTTTTAATATTAAACACAAAATTAAAGAAAGAAAAATTAAAAATCTCTATTATCTAAATATAAGTAAATGCAACTATTCTAAAATTATTATTTGTACTATTTATTATTTTAAAATCTAACTTTCATTCTATTTAATGAAAGACCTCTACCGTCCCTCATTAAAAAAACTAAATATTTAATCTTAGTTTTTGAATATAGACGAATGACATACACGTTTTGGAATTGATATGAACTGGACTGATATTATTCCAGTAGTATTCTATTAATCCTATATTTAAAAACTACTTTTCACTTTTACTTTTTACCGAAAAACACTTGCTCAGCTTTATTATGGCAAATACTTTGTCAGAGAATAAAATAGATAAATTTCAAAACTTAGCGGTACTCATTTCTTTATTTACTGGTGTTGTACGTTCTGCCACTTTGACAATGCTGAGGTTGTAATTGTTTTTATAGCTGCATACATGTATACATTTAAGTTGAGTTGAGCATTTCTTTTGTTTCTATGCGTGGAGTAGTACACGTGATTCAATTTAGGCATATTATTTATTTATATACGAGAGTGATTTGATAAGTCAGTGTCTTTTTGAATTTCCCGTGCAGTTACTCCAAATGCAACAGTGCTGCCGTCAGCTGTAATCTACCAGTGGGCAAAGTTTTAATTTTGAGCAAGCTACATCGTCCATTGGTGTTTGATAGCCGTTCAAAGCAGACAACCTCGTGAATTTTTACGAAAATGGAAAAAAGTGAATTTCGCCATTTCTTTAGGTTTGGAAACAGAAAATAGTCACAGAGGGCTGAATCTGGAGAATATGCTGGATGGGGTAGCAGTTCGTATCCCAATTCGTGGATTTTGGCCACAATGCTTAATCAGCACACGAAATTCACTTTATTCCATTTTCGTAAAAATTCATGAGGTTGTCTGCTTTGAACGGCTATCAAACACCAACTGAGCGACGTAGCTTGTCCAAAATTATAATTTTATAATTTTATAATTTCTATATAAATGTATAATTTAGGTGTTAAATACTTGCACAAATAACTTTGGCTTTTTACTTTGATTCATGTTTTCTTAAAAAAAACTTTTTTAAAGATTTTTTTAAGGTTTCTATATGTTTAGCTGTAACTACAGGGTGGCTGAGAAAATGTGCAACAAATGAAGCCAATAAAGCTATCACACGCACGCTGCCCGCAAATGGCATTGCGATATTTTGTCCCATTCTAAGGCCTACCACTTGCTTCAGACGTCGAAATTTTGGTATTTTTAAGTGTCAAGCTAACTTTTTAACATACACCAGACCAATATATCTAAAAGATTTATATCAGGTAAACACGATGGTCACTGTGTTAATAAAATAAAGCACACACCGTTCTTTTTCAGCTATTCTTGGTTGACGCGCGCTTTGAGCGATCGTACTGACTACTGTTGGAATGTCCAACGCCTGCCTGATTTGCATATATAATTTTATCAAAAATATATATGAGTGAAGTATTCTATTTAATGTTATTATTTATAATTCTCCTATAGTTTGAAATTGTTTAAAAGGTGGAGTTATCTATTGATATAGTTGATTATAGTCCAAAAGAGTCTTGAATGTTCATTAGAAGTTGTGTATTGTCTGACATATTAAAAAAATATATATCGTCTAAATGAATGTGCTATATCAATAGTATTAATGCATATTCTGCATTTGAAGAAATTTTTATGGAGCGGACAGATTTAATAATAGGTTCTAAGTTGCATATATAAGACAAGAAATTATTAATTTATATATTTTAATCTAATCTATTTATTTCTACCCTTGCGGAAACGCCATTGTTCTTTGGTTTATTGTTTTGCTGTTACTATAACTCATGTTTGTTTAATTTTTGTCCTATACAATATTATCTACAAATTCTATAATAAATGAATGCACATTTTGGGTTCTATAATGGTAATATTGCTTTAAATTTTCTTCTGGGATTAAGTGACACCTAAAAATTAAAAAAAATTTAATGTCAATAATTAATTGCAGTAGAATTCTGTATACCGTTAGGTACAAGGTGATATGGTTGAGAAAACTGGTTGTACTGAAGATTTGTTTCAATCCAGAATATCCTAGTAATATATATTCAGTTCTTAAGTCAAGCAAGATAATTTCTACTAGTGGCTTTCACTTTAAATAATGCAAAATAAATTCAATAAATTAACTACGTTTCTTTATAGAATTTCTTAATTTCAAAAATATATGTGCGTTTCTATTGTTATTTACATTTAATAATATTAACTTATATTTATATCCTCTCATTAACCTTTGACTTTGTTCGTGGTTAAATGAAGAAATCGTGAACACAAGAACAGAAGATAAGTGCAAGAATGTGAAAGAATAACAAATGGAGGGAAGGAACATCATCAGGCAAAGTTCAAAAACACTGAATGATACTTTGAAAAACATGTAAACAGGAATAAAAGCATTTATCACAAAAATATAAACAAATCACAATTACACAACATGTGGTGAGTTCAAACAAAGAGCCTAACCCACCAGAAATAAATGGGAGCATAAGCTGAGTAAAAAGAGCGCGCAAGCGTAATTGGTCGAGGGGGGAGAAATCTGTAAACAAGTCACTCGAATTTGTAATGATTGCACTGTTTTATGCCGGTCTGTCTAGTTATTCACCACACTGCAGAACGTTAAGTAGGAATAGAAATGAATGATTTTAATTTAATCGCATTGAAACAGGTCAACGATATAAATATAATTATGATTTTTACAATTTATAAGTGATCCTAAATTTCTCTATTTAAAGAAAATAAATTTTGATAAATTTTAATATTTTTATTTTCCTGACAACATCCAACACAAACACACACACATGTGCTTTGACCGCAAACAGTATTTTTTATAATTTTTTCTGTTTCTGTTTAAATAAAATTCACTCACAGTGCCTTCACCCTTCAACTACTGCTTACCCCACACTGCGATGCAATTATGTTTGTTATGACATTTTCAAGCATTTAATGCCGCGTTTATGTCAGATATTTAAATGACAGCATAACGTTGTGTTTATTTGTTCTGGCATGAGTGTGCGTGGCCAGTGAATGTGCATATGTGCATATGTGTGTGTGAATGTGCTATTGAGTGTACAACAAACATGGATACTAGCAACCACTACTGCACTTACTGTTGTTGTTGCTTTTACTGTTGCGGCATTTATAGTAAATTGATACCAAATACCATTGCTTTGGCTGTCCTATCCTTTGTTTATCGTGTTGTGTGGATATTATAGTAGTAGTTTAACATGTTTATTTTTTTTCTCCTTTGAATATTAAAGTGGATTGTTGCTACTGCAAATGTTGTTGTGATTGTATTTCGTTTTTGGTGTATTTATCCGACAGCAAATAAAAATATTTTTTATTTATTATTTATGCAAATTTTTTTCCTTCAGCATTGCCGTTTAATTTGTTGGATTGCTTCTCGGCATGTGGAACGCATTCAGGCACATTCAGTGCACTTGTTATTTGCAAGGACATGCTTGTGCGGACTAAGTGGGCGTTGAAAGGATTTATTGTACACGTGTATTGTACCCTTGAACATATGGAATAGTATATTTATTGCAGTAATCGATGATTGATTGCGAACTATATTTGTCCGTAGATGTGCTCTGACATTCGCAATCAGTTAAGAGCGAATTCGTTACATATAGACAGATAATTGCTTTACAATTGAAATTGCTTCTTATTTAAACTAATTTCATTAAACCTCAATGGTTATTTTTTTATATCCTATATTCCTATTTAGGAATATATAGCAAACCTATATTTGAGGTAAAGTTTTCTCAGAATATAAAGAAGCCTAAAGAAGGCAGGAACACTGTAAATTTGACAAATATTTTGTTTCAAATAAGAAGTTCCTTACCGGAAAGCGGCGAGTCCTCTAAAATGTCATTTGTTTAGAAGTTACTTTAACTGTGACGGTGTCAGGAACCTTGGTGCTAGTAATCACTTTCTGAAACAGACCAAAGCTGGACGTTAATTTAAAACACGTTATCTTTTAGTCGATGCAGACACTATACTGCATCGACTAATATTCATTTAATAAATGTCATAGAACATTTAATCCGTTCGATTCCGTTCTAGAATCCGTTCTAGATAAATAAACAAATTGTGTTTTATTTGCTAATTATTTGAAATGTCATTCAATTTTCAGATTTCTAAATGCACACCACATATTAATAGCAAAACGCAAATTCATGCTGCTAATTTACAGCCAGTTATATTTTAATTGAAATGTTAACACATATGGTATGTCAAAAGAGCAAAAAGTATAAATGTTTCCCTTAGAATATATAAATGAAACAATTAATAAACATAGTGATATCATACGTTCATCGATTCACTCGACTCGAGTTAGTTTTTGTCTATGGACTGCACTTTTTGTCTCACTTTTGTAAATACTCTCGTAGCATCAGTAAAACCATTCTTTGC